CCCAGATCTTGAGTCTTCCAAGGCTTTTGAGTCTGAGACTTTCAAGAGTTTTAGGGTCACAGTGATATGTTTTACATGGCTGTGGGAAACAATGAGCCCCACACCATAATGGATGCTAGAGACTCAGCTGAGACAAATGAGGCTGATGATTTTACAGCCTTGCACAAAGCATCAGCCTAGAGAAACGGCAAATGTGGCCAGCATGCCATTTTGGTACAGAACAGTTAGCCTTTTGTATTCCTTTTTTTTTTTTTTGGTTTTTTGAGACAGGGTTTCTCTGTATAGCCCTGGCTGTCCTGGAACTCACTCTGTAGACCAGGCTGGCCTTGAACTCAGAAATCCACCTGCCTCTGCCTCCCAAGTGCTGGGATTAAAGGCATGCGCCACCACTGCCCGGCCGCCTTTTGTATTCCTAATTGCATTTCTCTGCCCTGTCCTGAATTCCTCACTGGGTGAGTTCTTTAGAGAGGTACAACCTTCCCAATGTCTAGTATTGACCCCTTCTCAGATTCCTCTTCTATTGAATCAGGATGGAAAGCCTTATCTAATGTACATCCTGTTTCACGAGGTTCCCTCCTTTTCTGATATGTGGGCTCAGTCCTGTAGCATAGTGCTAGTGACTGTTCAACCCTAGGATATACTGAAAGCACCTAGTCACACAAACACAAGTGGCCAGCTAGGGAAGACAGGGGCTTAGAGTTTTCTCCTCAGCTGTGATGTTCTGATGCACTCTACATGCACCTTATACTGAGATAGGCCATAATGATTCCTTCTTACATACAGGAGAAACTCGCACTGACATAACACAAAAGCTTGGGGTCAACTGATTGTTCTCCATAGGTCGATATAGCCACATGTCAAAGACTGTCGGGAAAGGGTCCTTTGAAAGTAGAATGTGCTTCCCCACTCTTTGGCTTTGGACTTGGCTTGGCTTGAATTGGACACTCAAATATTAGCAAAGAAAGCATAAGAGAAGGCTTAAAGTGCTAGACCCTCTGACTGGTCAGGAGAGCAGCTCCTGGGCTAGTGATGTCCCTTTAGGCTGGGTCTGTCTGAATGAACTCATTTGGAGTAGAACTGGCTCACCTGCAGAGAGAATCTAAGCTCAGATGGTCACAGCTCAAGATGTATAGATACAGACATATAAATATGGAGGTGGAGGTGGATGTAGATAGAGATGCATATGTGTACATGTACATATGTAAGCATATATACATATATGTGCAACCATATATATATATATGTATGTATAATATATATGGTTGTAACTCAACTAGTAGTGTGCTTCCCTGATGTACATGAAGCCCTGGGTTCAATCCTCAGCACCGCATAGATTGGACATAATGGTTCACACCCCTAATGCCAGCACTTAGGACACAGAGGCAAGCAGTTTACAGTCATTTTCCTCTATGTAGCAAGTTCAAAGCCAGTCTGAAGACCTTGTCTACAGATAAATGAACGCATTCTTGTTGTCACCCACCATGTTGGAGTTAACAACAGCTACCTGATAGACTTCCTTTTTCGTCTTTGTGGTCCTTTCATGCTGGAACTACTGCAGGGTGGTTGTTGCTAACCAGACACATTGAGGCTCTCAGCTGAACAGCATAGCTGTCCTAAAGTTTAATACACTGTTGGAGCACACTCCAAACCTCCTTAGAAGATGGCCACCCTTTTAAATCACATCCTTTAATATTTCTGTTTGAAAAGGCTTATCAATTGAAAATACATTTGGCTACAAGCAAATAATAGCATATTGGATAGGGAGAGGAATCTATCAATTTAAGTGGCCTTTAAAAATAAAACTAACTTAAGGGGCTGGAGGCACCACTCAACAGTTAAAGCATTTCCTGATCATTCAAAGGACCCGGGTCAGTTCCCAGAACCCAGTGTTGGGTGGTTCACAACTGCCTGTAACTGCAGCTCTAATGAATCCAATACCCAGTCCACAGGCACATACACACAATTTTAAAACTGTCAGGTATATCTTGAAGATAAAGATTTGAAGATAATAACTTCAAACTTCACTCAACCCCCATATGTGATCATTGTAAGACAATGGAGTGAGAACCTCCTTTTGGGAAGCCCAAACCCGTGCTCTCGGTATGTCTAATTTTCTTCTCTTTTTTTTCTTTATTTTTTTTTTTTTTTTTTTTTTTTTTTGGTTTTTCGAGACAGGGTTTCTCTGTGTAGCCCTGACTGTCCTGGAACTCACTCTGTAGACCAGGCTGGCCTCGAACTCAGAAATCCGCCTGCCTCTGCCTCCCAAGTGCTGGGATTAAAGGCGTGCGCAGC